TAAGATTTCTTTTAAATATTCCAATACTAAATTTTGTCGTAATTATAAAAAATTATAATATTTTTGTCTAAAAAATATTTAAAAAACCCAATTACTATTTTTAAAGTGTATTTCTTTAAAAGAAATCTTCAGAATAAAATATTCTTACATGTTAAAAACTGATTTTTGATAAAAATGAGATGTATTTGAGCTGGAATTATAGGGCCGCGCTTTGTATATAGAGAACGATTAGGTATTTTTAGGGACCGGTTTTTGACCATCTCTAAATTATAGAAAACGACTAAGGAGCCGTTTACCAAATGGTTACTCGGGTAAGTGAACACCAAGTCATATTACCTTACCGGATGAATATGGTAAAAGCGAAACAAGGACCAAGAGTCTTACCCGTTAAGTGAAAGCGACGATTCTTACTACGGTGAGAGCTTATCGGGTAAATTGTTGCATACGATACCGTTTTGGTGAACTAAAATTTTATCCGGTAAGTAAATGATAATGTTAAGTTTACCGACAAACGCTTACCGGATAAGTATTTGGTAAAGGGTCCCTAAATGTTACAATAAGACCGGTTACAAGAAGACAATCTCGTACGAGGATCTCTAAATGATAATAGTAAAATGAAAACGTTTGAGGGAACAAAATTGATTAAGACAAACCAGGTTGTTATTTTCATATTCTATCTACACATCCAACCTCATCGGAACTTTCCTAACTAATTTTCTCTCCTTTTCCTCATCCTACTAATTCGCCGGATGTATCACCGGAATCCTCACTTCTTTCTCGCCGGAGTTCCTGGTTTTACCCTGATGTTCCGCATCTTTGGCCGACCCGCATGTGCCCCGATGATACCATTTCTTTTGCGTTTTTGATTTCCGGTCACTAATTGCAATTCCTATATCGTTTGGGAAGAGGTCCCGCAAAACGAAAGCATGAAGAATTGTCGTTATCAGTAACCCTGTCACCGTTACAGTAGCAACGGTGGACAGGATTAACGATAATGCTTTTGTTACTACGTTCGAGACCTCACTCGAGTATCTGATGGTCGAGATTGCAGCTCCCGTCATTGGAAAAGTGTAAGCCCACCACGCCAACGAGAACTTGAATCCTCTAAAGAAATTTACTCGAACCGCCTGCAAATGTTACCGTATTACACCAAATTTAGATCAAGATAAAAAGTCGACAAGTTGAGTAAAAAGACCAGACTTGAATCATTTCTCCTCTATATAAGTTGGAATCTCTCCCTTTTTAAAGGCTTTTAGAGTAATCTAATGGGTTCCATATGTCCTTACATTGTATCAGCTCACGCTGTACCATTATGACAACTCGACATTATTGGGACAATCCGTACCCACTCCCAAATCAATTAGAACGGTTTGTTTCTTAATAGCTTAACGAGCTTAATGAGAAAGTGACTTATTCAGTAAACTTCTAGTAGGAGCTTCATGCAGAATGCCAGATCCCAACAAAAAAAAACAGCCCTTAGACCATTCTCTTGGGTTGTTTTAGAAAGTAATTGAAGCATGAAATTAAGACGTTGAACTAACCAGTGAAAAATAGAGAAACAAGGCAATGAAGTAGGCGAGTCGAGACCCGTAATCGAACGAACCATTGATCTTGGCCCACGCCATCGAAGCAACACTCGGAGCAGCGACAAACAGAAAGAACACCGGATGAAGCTCTTTCGGGAGAGTTTCGTTCGTCGGAAGTCTCTGATACAACGTCACAAACAACACCGTGTAATGAGCCAATCCAACCGCAAAGAAGAAAATCGGGCCTTCTTTCAACCCCATCGTTGCCCCCAACAACGCCCCCACAAAGTTCCCCACCACCGATAAATGGTTAGACGGGTTCGCCACCTTCGACAACCGCCGCTGCCCACCGGACATCCACTGCCCGTAAATCTTGAGCTCCAGACAGAATATCGGCGTCATTAGCACGTACCATAACGAGTGAGGCAGTTTCCTCATAACCGAATCCGGAACTCCGATGGCCAAGAAAAGTAACGCGATCCACGGGGCGAAAAAGAAATTCACTCGAATCGGGTGGTAATATTCTCTTCGAACGGCTTCGAAATAGAAGATCACTTTAAGAAGGTACGTTACGGCCACCACCGCAAAAAGAAGGATCGATATACACCATAACGTGTAGTTCACTCGAAGACTTATATGAAGGAAATGTGTCGATGCCGTCGATGCTAAATTCTTCCACATTATCGCTTGGCTGCTAACGCCGAGACATATCCCGAACGACGAGATCGGAAAACGAAGAAGAAACGGCCATTTTTTATCTTCGGGAAGCATTATTTCCTCCTGAGGCTGTTAAAGAAAACGTTAAAAAGATCGAATTTTGATTTAAAATGAGCCAACCCACTCCAATGAGATCAGGTTTTATTTTATAAGAAGTCAAATGTGTCTAACAGCAACAAAAAAAAAGCAGTTAGGACATTTAGACGTATTTAACGTGAAAAGTGCATAACGTACCCGAAGGGTCTCCAACTCGGGTCCTTCTAAAGCATCGAAGTATCTATCGACAGATAAAGTCTCCCCTTGAAGATTTTGGGGAGGGTTTATCTCGGGTTCGTTACGTGGCTTCCCACGTAACGTTGAAAGTTGTCTTTCGAGTCGACCTGACCATGTTTTGAATGAGTTGTATCTATTGTCCTTAAACTCATCCAACCGCGGATTCTTTACCGGAAGAATCAGACGGTGCTCCGGGGTTTTTCCGGCCACTGTCTGATCATCAGTTCCACCGCCCATTATTATGGGCTCGGAATGAAACTTGACCTCATGGGTGCCGGAGTTTTCTGGGCTATCGTTTCCGGCTGCTTCCACCTCGTCTTTCAGCACAACCCTTTCCGCATCCAATCGCAAATGTGGCATGCTAATCGAAACAGATTGTGTTGCTTCTCGACTCGAAGAATCACTCGAGCTTTCGATATCGTTTCCACTCGGCTTCTGGAAAAATTCAAACAGAAATTCAATAACCACAAGATTTATGAGATCCAGCCATTGATTATCAGCAACTCTGACTGCCATTTTCAGAGCTGATTCATTAATGAGCTTAATAAAATCCCTCCATTCCATTACCAACTGAGTTTTGATCTGAAAACTTACCATAAACTGGAAATTGGAGTCACTTTGCTTGGTATCATCATCATCAAAACCCAGAATTTGGTGGCCATCTGCAGATCTGATCAGTGATGGAACCGCTTCAGTAGGGGAATCCTTTCCAAGATCATTGCTTTTTTCCATCACAATCAATTTCTTGCTGTAAAATAAAGACAAAAAGAATTAAATTAAATGAACATCAACAATCTCCATGCAAATGCATGTTCTTGATTCTTTAAAAATGTGTATTCAGATCAAGAAATGGAGAGGGGGTTGTACTATAGTGGGAATATGTGCATAAATGTGTTGTACCTTGAAAGAAATAATTAAACCCAACAATGGCTGTCTTTGGTGTATGGTAGATCCAGAAACAAAATGAAGGAGCACACCTTCCATTGTCTCAAATGTGAAGCTCTATTTATAGCACTCACTTTTTTTCACTATCTTCCAATTTATTAAGAGATATTATATAAAAAGGGATCCAATAAAAAAATTACACTTCAAAATTATGAATTATCAATAACTTTAATCGTAATTTTAAATTACTTTAAAAGTGATTGAACGGATAAGAGTCAACATTCTCAATTACTTTATTTTTATAAGACTGTTGGTAAACATCATCATCTCTAACCAGTAATCACTAATCAGGTAAACCATCTTCACTTAATAAGATTTCAATCAGCAAAATGACACGATAAGATTGTTGGTCAAGACCATCACCTCTAATTACGTAATTGTCTCTTACCCATTAAAAAGAAATAAGTGTTTAATACATTGGTAAAAGGCAATAAATATATAATAAACAATCCTTAGTTATGAAAATATATATATATATATATATATATATATATATATATATATATATATTTGATTAACCTGGATATCCAACCCACTATGCGAGCCGACTAATCTCAGTACGACCACCTGCTTCGCAAATACGGAGTCACCGCAGTTGAACATCCGTGGCCACAAGGGGATTTTTATTCCTCTTTAGATTTGAACCTACGACCTCCTAGTACTTTTGACCTTTGGAGCCAAGCTCAAACCAATCAGGCACCACCCTTGTGGTTAAAAAAAAAAAGATATATTTGCTTTTTGCATGAAAACAAGTGTTCCAACAAACGCATTACGTCTTTCCTTATAAGTATGATGTTTAATTCAACTTATCGGTTTTGACCTGAACGACCACATTCAATTTATAAACGCACATTTGCATACACAAATTCAAAAACACCCTTTTACACAATAGCGACTCACTTTAACCCAATTCAGCAAACTTGTCGATCTTTACGGGTAAAAGTCTAAATTTCATATTGTCTTGTCGTCACAATTTCTTTACAGAATTAGATCTTTGAATCGATACTTTTATTTTACATTCTCTTTCGTACATAAAGAACGGAGGAAACTAGACCTTTCTTTACGTACTCTCTTATCGCATATCAACAAAATTCTTTTTGTTCCACCGTATTGTGCAACATTTCATAAATAAAAATAACTGATAAACTTGACTTTTTACAGTATCATAACTTTAAAACATTTGATTTATTTTGTAACTATGAATCACATTTACACATTCATTTATTAGTAAACATTGAAAAATGAATTTGTTTATTTTTGTGACAACCAAATTAAATTTGAGTATTAATTACAATAATTAAAAATTAATTTTTGAAAATAAATTAAAAATTACCGGTATCAAGATGTAAACCAAGTGATGCCATGTGACATGGACCCGTTCTTTCCAACCACGCCAATTCTTAGGAAGACGTTCATGGACCCATGAGGAATGGCCATCGGATTCGGGGCTGCTCTAAATAAAACCTAACCCATAAATAAATAAGTGATTTTAAATTAAATCCATTATTTAAAAAATAAATTTTAAAATTAACATATAATATATGATAAATGGTGGAATATATACATAACATCGGGTTTAGGTTCAGGAGAAAAAAAAAACGTTAAATAAATAAAAAATCAAATGAAAAAGTATATTGATATGGAGTTCAAACTAAGTAGAAAAATTATGATGGTTTTTTTGTTTATTTTCCGGGTTTTTTAATAAAAAATGGAGGGGGTAAAGTTTTAATTTAAAGATATTGTTGTAACCCTTCATTTAATCAGGTATATTGGATCAATTAATTTAATTTAATGCTGTTTTCTAGTTTCTTTTATATAGGGTTTTTCAAATACAAATTTTCTAATTAATACAAACCAATCAAATGATATATTTATGGAAATGATGATAGTTTATTTATTATAATCTAGATATTTATGGAAGATGATAAAAAATAATTCATTATGATTAATGTTTTAAATCAACAAATAATCAAGATATTTATAACGCAGGTTATTCGATGTAGAGTTTGTATAAAATATAAGGTTTATATTTTAAACTCCATATATATATATATATATATATATGTGTGTGTGTGTGTGTGTGTGTATATATATATGGTTGGATTTGCGTGAGACAATGTTGTTTTCGTGAGACACAATTTTACACTTCAAATTTCACAACAAAATGTTGTGAAGGTAAAAAGAAGCCGAATCTCCACAACAAAATCATTTTGAAGGTTACCTTCACAGTTTTTATTGCGAAGTTTCTAGTGTAAAAATCGTGTATCATGAAAACAGACTTATGTCACATGATTCCAATATATATATATATATATATATATATAKAGAGAGAGAGAGAGAGAGAGAAGTGATCAAATGGAAACCACCCTCATTTGTGTAAACCGTACAAACCTCATTCAACCAATCATAATTTTTTATTTTGTTCATTTTTTTGTAATTATGAGAGGTTGATTAATCATTTTTATTGTGGAGGGTGTTAATCATGGATATTATCATCTTCATTATTTTAATTTTAGATAAATACATGAAACAGTTCCATTAAAATTTCATTAAGTATTATATGAAACAATTTCATAACCATATATGAAACAACTTTATCAAAAAAAATATTATATGAAACAATTTCACAAGATTAAACAATTTCATTAAAAAAATTCATAAGATTAAACAATTAAATCGGCGGATGAGAGTGATTTGCACGGTATATATATATACACACATATAAACACTTGTTTATTTTTCTTAGAAATGATTGAAAAACAGGACTCATCTGTCATCTCCCAAGAAACTGTGCATAGAATGGAGATTTGTCTTTTAGAAATAAAATATAACGAATAAAAACAAATGTACATGAGAGATTACCTGGATGCTTTATATTATTTTGTTTTTAATAAATAAAAATAAATAAATGTGGGACAACTTAGAGACCCTCTTTTCCAATCAAAATCATAATCAAAATCGGAAAAGGAAACAACGAACGAAGCTCGCATCGATGAGTCGAACAGAACAAATGGAACCAAAAGGCATTCTCGATCGTTGGATTAAGAACATATGAATCAACAATGGTTTTACGAAAATCGAAATTGGGACAGATTAATCGAAGAGTCCAATGAATTAATCTGGGAAAAAAACGTACCGTATGGGTGTTCATTCGAATGATGAATCTGGAATTAAAGCTGCTCATTGGAACCTTTTTTTATGCGATTGCTTACAACAACGGTATGTGTGGAGTTTGATGTTGATTGATGATTTATTTGTGGCCATCATACTAAACCCATTTAATTCTCCCCTTTCTGTTATCTCAGATTCTTGATTTTAGGGTTTTATGATTGTGATTTACGGAGAGTGATATGCAAAAAGTCAGAACCAAATCTTTTCGTCTTTTGGGGGTTCCAGTTAGGAAAAAAAGGACAAGGTAAAACAAGAGACAGAAAAAACCGTCATTTGGCCGATTTTAACGGAACTGAAGACTTTTTATTTTTTGAACGGTTAATAGTTCTATATATAAAATACAAAAGGTCTTACACAGATTTTGCATCGGAACGGATTTTTAAACCGAATGCATCACAAAAAGACTTGGCCATAAATGTTCTGACGGTTTGAATTTGAAAATGACATTTTGTATCCGATAACGTTTTACAACAATAAATATATTACATGTCAAAATAACGAAAATATAATACAAAGTTTATCGACCCATTAACACACTTTAATTATACAGTATTCTTTATATACGTCTCAACACAAATCAGATTCGAAAATATATAATATTCTCCTGTAAAATTGTATGTTGTTGTATCGTTTACTACAGACTGTTAGTTAAATCAGTAGTTTAGTTAACCAATCAAACAGATAAATATTACCATTGTTTTACTTCTTTTTATTATTGTAAAGATATTATATGTTCTGATTTAGACATATTTTACGTTCGATATCTTTAAATTTAACATTTCAGATCAATAAAAATCTCATCAAAATCGATCTTTTTTTTTAATATTGTCTTGAGATAATGAAAGGTTTTAATAGTGATGAGATACCTAATACCTAATGTAGGCCACTTTGTAGTCATTGGTGGATCGAAAGTAACGACTTCAATGGGGCTGAGTCGGGTTCCATTTATCCTTTTTGTTTTCTTTTTATCTCATAAAATTATAGGTCCCACTAAACATAAAATGTTTACGAGTAAAAAGTATCAATAATCATATGTAGCTAAAACTTGTAAGTATTTCTGTATCTATATTTTACTGTTTGAAGGTAGAAACCAGATCTACGTATTCAGATTTCAACTGTAGATGATTAAATATAATTTACTGAACTCGTGTAATTTATCAGAAGAATTAAATCTCAAACGTACACTATGAAAATAACAAAAGCATGAAAGTACATGGTCCGTACGATTACATTTACCTAATATTCCCCTAATTAAGTGACGTTATATGGACCATTTGGTTTTGTTTGCCAAAAAGAAAGAAGCACTTTGGTAAATCCCAATAATCAATGGCATGATGTCATCATCACTTTGCTAAATCTAAAAATCGATTACATGTTTGTCTCGTTATTAACTTCAGTATTTTATAAGTCAACATGTGAACAACTGATTCGGACACTCACAGTTATAACAAAATAAAATATGGGTGCTTAGAAGAGCAATATCATACCCATATTGCAACCTTTGGGTCTGGGGTCGGGATTAAAATGGTAGTCATTGATCAGCTGATTCGAATTAGATTTCATATTCAACACGTTAACTTATTTATATTCATCAAGTTAAAAAGAACATATTTCAA